ATTTCTTTCTCTTGTCTTATTGCTATTGCTAAGACTTCCAATACAATATTGAATAGGAGAGGTAATAGTAGACATCCTTGCCTAGTTCCTCTTCTCAAAGGGAATGCCTTTAATGTCTCTCCATTGAGAACAATGTTGATTCTCGGTTTTCCATATATACTTTTCACTATGTTGAGGAAATTCCCATCTATTCCTATTTTGTTGAGTGTTTTAATCAAGAAAGAGTGTTGGATTTTTTTTAAAAGGCTTTTTCTGCATTGACTGATAATATTATATGGTTCTTGTTCTTTGCTTTGTTAATGTGATGAGTTACACTAATTGTTTTTCTTATGTTGAACCATCCTTGCATACCTGTTATGAATCCCACTTGGTCATGGTGATTTTTTTTTAATGTACTGTTGCCAGGATTTTATTGAGGATTTTTTTTATTTATGTTCATGGAGAAATTGAGCTATAGTTTTCTATGTTGGTGGTGTTTTTACCTAACTTAAGTAACAAGGGTATATTTGCTTTATAAAATTAGTTTGGGAGAACTCTCTTTTTCTATTTTCTGAAATACTTTATGTATAATTGGTGACAGTTGTCTGAATGTTTGATAAGATTCAAAAGTAAAAGCATTGGCCCAGGGCTTTTTTTGTTATTGTTGTTGTTGGAAGTTGCTTTATTACCTGTTCAATTTTTTATTCTGTAATAGATCTATTCAGGTGTTGTACTTTGGTCTGTGTTTAGGTAGGTTGTGAGTGTCTAAGTATGTATCCATTTCCTCTAAGTTTTCATATTTATTTGAGTATAGTTTTTCATAATATTATATTGTTAAACTTTTTGTAGTTGGTTCTGTTGTGACATTGCACTTTTCACCTCTTATTTGGATTATTTGTAGCTTTTCTTTTCCTTTGTTAGCTTTGCTGATGGTTAGTTAATTCTATTGACCTTTTCAAAGAACCAACTTCCAGTTTTGTTAATGGTTTCAATTGTTTTTCTGTTTTCTATTTCCTTTCTCTTTAATTTTTATAATTTCATTTTTTTTCAGAGGGTGTTGGGTTTTCTTGCTGTTCTTTTTCAACTCATTCGAAGGGTTGTATTAAAGAATCAATAAAGAATCAATTGGGGGGAGTTTCTTGCCTTTTGATATGTTTGCTTATTGCTATAGATTGATCTCTGCTTTGGCTCTTTCCCAGAGATTTTGTTAAGTTTTGTTTTCATTGTAATTTGTTTCAAGAAACTTTTTAAATTTCATTTTTTATTTCTTCTATTACCTATTCATGTTCAGAGTGTTCCTCAGCTTCCAAATGTATAGGGTTTTCTCCTTTATCCTTTTATTACTAATTTCTACTTTTGTAGCATTGTGGTCTGACAAGATGCTTTGTATTATTTCTGTGTGTTTTTTAATTGGTGTTTTCTTTGTGACCTAAAATGTGATCTGTTCTAGAGAAAGTTGCATATTTTCTGGAGAAGAAGATATACTGACTTTTTGGGGGGGTGCATTAGCCTCTATATATCTATGAGATCAAGTTGGTTTATTGTGTAGTTTAATTCTTCAGCATCTCTGAGTTTTTTCTGGTAGTTCTATCTTTTCCTTAGAATGGTGTATATACTCCTACTATTATTGTGTTGTCTATTTCTTTTTTCAATTCTGCTAATGTTTGTTTTGTATATTTATGTCCTCTTGTTCTATTGATCTTTTAAGCATTATATAAAGACTTCCCTTGTCCTTTGTGATGGTTTTTACAGTGGCATCTATTTTATCAGAAATTATTATTGATACTTCTGCTTTTTTCTGGTTGCCATTTTCTTGTTATATTTTTTCCTACCCTTTTATTTTTAGTCTGTCTTTCACTTTTCAAGTGTGTTTCTTTTAGACAGCATATTTATGGGTTTTGTTTGGTTTTTTAATCCATTCTGCTACTCTTTTTTCTTTTCACTGATGCATTTAAACCATTCACATTCAGTGTCATTATTGAGAGGCAGGGTTTTATTACTATCATTTTGTTGAGTTGCTTTTTGATCATGTTGCTGATTATTTTGGTCCTGCTTTCTGTGGCATCTCTGAAAGAAAGACTTCCCTCAGTGTTTTCTGTGATGCTGATCTTGTTTTTACAAACTCCCTTAGGTTCTGTTTTTCTGAGAATATATTGATCTGTCATATGTGATGGACAGTTTTTATTGGGTACAGGATTCTTGCCATTAATAAATCATTGAATGTACAGAATTCTATCATTCTATCAAACAGCTTCATTTCTGTCACCATGTTTTCCAACTACTGATCCTTCTTCCCTGTTTCCAGCTTTTACAGTCCAGTCACCCATTATTATGAATGCATATTGATTGCATGTTCGATCTATTTCTGACTGCAAATGTTGGTAGAATCTTCTATTTCCTCCTCTCTGGATCTAGTTGTAAGTGCATATATTTGAATGATAGTGATATTCACTGGACTTCCTTGTATGCATGTGGATATTATCCTGTCACTCACCACATTGTATTTCAAGATAGATCTAGAAATGACTTTTTTAATTATGCAAGCAACCCCATTTTTCTCACCTTTTCATCTCCAGAATAGTAGATCATATGAACATCTGATTCAAAATGTCCCATGCCAAGCCATCTCAATTCGCCAATACCTAGTATTCAATATTTATGCATTCCGTTTCTTTCTTAACAATATTCCTTTTTTTTCTTTTACATTCATGCTTCTCACAGTCCACGTTCCAATCACTAGTGTCTGCTTACAACTGTTCCTCCTTCTTTGTGTTTCTATATTTGAGGACCAGGAGGCAGTTGTCAAAACAGAACAAAGGAGACAAGGCATGGTTCAAAATAGGGAATGATGTATGCCAGGGATATCTATCTCCATGCCTTTTCAATCTATATGCAGAACAGATCATCTGGGAGGCTGGGCTGTATGAAGATGAATGAGGCTTCAGGATTAGAGGAAGGCTCATCAATAACCTCCGTTATGCAGATGACACAACCCTGCTTGCTGAAACTGAGAAGGACCTGAGGTGCCTGCTGAAGAAGGTCAAGGACTGCAGCCTTCAATATGGATTGAAGCTCAGTATCAAGAAAACCAAGATTCTCACCACTGGGCCGATTGGCAGCATTATGATAGATGGTGGAGAGATTGAGATTATTAACAGCTTTACTTTGCTTGGTTCCATAGTCAGTACTTTTGGTACCAGTAGCCAGGAAATCAACAGGCAAACTGCACTGGGAAAGTCAGCTGTCAGGGACCTCTCCAGAGTACTGAAGAGCAACAACATCAGGCTGGAGACTAAGGTGCACCTGATCCAGGCCATAGTCTTCTCAATTGATTGCTATGCGTCAAAGAGCTGGACAATGACTAGGAATGACAGAAGAAGAATTTATGCCTTTGGGCTGTGGTGCTGGAGAAGAGGGTTGAATGTACCATGAATAGCCAGGAGAACAAACAGGTTCATCCTAGACAGGGTGAAACCTGTCTGCTCCCTGAAAACAAGGATTCTGAAGCATATTCTGACATACTTTGTGCATGTTGTAAGGAGGGACCAGTCCTTGGAGAGAGACATCATGCTTGGAAGGATGGAGGGGCAGAGAAGTAGAGGAAGACCCTCAATGAGATGGATTGATTCAGTGATTAGTATAATGAAAGTAGGTGTGTCAGTGAAGATAGATAGCAAAGGATAGATAGGTTTCAGGGCTGTTGTACATAGGGTTGCTATGAGTTGCAAGTGATTGGATGGCACATAAACAACAACAAGAAACAATATTCTTTGTTGATAGTTGTATTCTTTGAGTGTTTGATATATGTTGTTCCACTGTCTTCTTGCTCACATGGTTTCTGCTGAGAAATTGGCACTTAATCTTATTTGCTCTCCCTTATAGGTTACTCTTCATTTCTCCCTAGCTGCTTTCAGAATTCTCACCTTGTCTTTGGTTCTGACAAATTTTATTGTCTTTGATCTTCTGACCCAAATGCTTCAGGTCTGCCTCAGTTTTGGCAAGCATGGTTGTGTCATCTGCATAATGCGGGTTGTTGATGAATCTTCTTCCAATCCTGATGCCACATTCTTTTTCATAAAATATAACCTCTTGAATGATCTGTTCTGATGGAACAGATGTATGGAGAAAGGACACATCCCTCACGCCCTCCTTTCTTGATTTTGAACCATGTAGTGAGCCTTAACTCTTTCTGATGACTGCTTCTTGGTCTTAAGTATGGGTTTCACATGAGCACAATCAAATGTTCAAGAATTCCCATTCTTTTATTAGTACAATTTGTTGTGGTCTACACAGTCAAATACCTTTGCATATATCATATGCAAGCAAAATTTTGCTGAAGATTATCCAAAAACAATTAGAAGAGAAATACAAATTGGATTTAGAAGAAGCTGTGACATTAGTGAAATCATTGCCAATGTTCAGTGTCTCTTGGCTGAAAGCAAAAGCAAAAAGTACCTGAAGAATGTCTATTTGTGTTTTATTGACCCTGCAAAGGCAAAGGATTGCATTAGAACTGCTAAAACCCCAGACTGAACCATACACCTTTAGATCTTCAGTCAATTGCTCTTCCAACGGAATTATTTTGTCTGCTTCCAACTATTAGAGAAAGAATATATATCCAGAATTAGCAAATAAGGTTTAGCAAAATATAGGCCAAGGGTGTGAAGATGACAGATGGCTATACATACAAATGCTAAGAGAATCATTAAGGCTGGATTACTTTGGGCCCCTAAGTAGTACAAATTATTAATGCACTGAGCTAACTGAAAGGGTTAGAGGTTCAAGCCTACAGAGTCATCTCAGAAGAAAGGCTTGGCTAGCTACTTCTGAAAAACCAGAAAACCTTATGGAACACAGTTCTGCTCTGACAAACATCAGGTCCCATGAGTTTGAATGAATTCAGTGGAACCTGGTTTTTGTGGGTTTGGGGTTAAGATGGTCCTCACAGATATAATGTACAACTAGATGGGCAAGAGGTAGAAGATTTTACTTAGAGTATTAACATTATTCTTTCATTACAGCTACCCACAGACAAAGACTTTAGAAAACATCGGAACCGTGTGGCCTACCTAAGTCTATATTATAATTGACAGATGGGTGACTACATTTATGGGCATCCTTCTGAACATAGAACTTCATGGATTAAGGGTAGAATCCCTCCTCCCTGTGTATCACTGTGGCCCTGTGGTCTGTTTGCATGGGGAGAGAAAGGAACTTAATGACTGCTGTATAAGATTATTAAAATTAATTAAATTCTCTCTTCATGTGCTCATTTGTGGTGTATACATAAACCGATGCTTCCTGGGTTTCATACAGGCTATTCAGTGGGATAACTTTATTTGAGTGAGCTTCTGTGCCGTTCTGAAAGCATGCGGTTTGAAGTCACCAGCTGCTCCATGGGAGAAAGATGGGAAATCTCTCCCATGCGATTAACTGACTCTGAAAACCTGCTGGAGGGTCAGGCATGGATCAGTTCTGACATACAACAACAAGTCCTGTTCTTTGGCTCTGATTCCTGGATAGCAATTTTATACCTTCTACCTCTTGCCCTCAACATTTGGCTGTGGGTTTGTTGTGCTGTGGTAGCTTGTATGTTGGTATGATGCTGGGAGCTGTGTCATTAGTATTTTAAATACCAGTAGGATCACCTGTGGTGGAGAGATTTCAGTGGAATTTCCAAACTAAAACAGAGAAACAGGCTTTGCATGACTCAAAATAAGGAGGAACAGCTGCGAAACATCCCTTGACAGGTGTAACATGGGATGTATGAAGTATCAATCTATGAAAATGACAAGTTGTGAAAAATGAAATAGACTGTATGAAATTACACACCCATCACCAAAGCCAAAGATGAAGACATTAACTCCATTAATCTGAAGTTAATCAAACATGCAATCAAAGTGCATTAAGAACCGGTGATGGAAGTTTAAGAGTTGGAAAGAAAGAAAAATTATTTTTAGGGGCAGTTGAATCAACTATGACTCTTACAACCCTGTGAAGAGCAGATCTGAGCTTTGCCCTGTTTTGTACCATCCTCATGCTCCCTGACATGCTCAAACCCATTGTGGCAGTTACCACATCAGTTCAGCTTGTGGAGGATCTCTCTTTCACCGACCCTCTACCATGTATCTCTCTCCAAGGACTCCTCAAAACATACCCATAGTAAAATGTGCAACAATCAATAAGTGACAATTAAACTTTTGTAAACTGTATTTAAAAATCACAATTTTTTAAAAAATGCCCAAACTAAGTGAGATGAAATTTCACCATCTATACCTCTAAGGAGCACTCTGGTTGACTTCTTTCAAGATTTGGGGGATAATCAACATTTTTCAACAACACTACAATCCAAAGACATAAATTCTTTGATCCTCTTTATTCACTAACTTCCAAATGCATAGAAAGTTGGAGAAGAGTATTGAAGAGTATTGAGCATACCATATACTGCCAAGAGAACTGTCCTGAAGAAAGTGAAACCAGGATGCTCCTTGGAAGCAAAAAGTATAGTGAAACTCCATCACACATGTTGTCAGGCCAGTCCTTAGTGAAAGACATAATGCTTGGCAGGGTAGTAGTCCAATGCAAGAGAGGAAGACCCTTCATGAGATGGATTGACACAGTGAGTAATTGTGGCGATGGAGTCAGATATATCGGAGATAGTGAGGTTGGCTCAGGAGAAGGCAAAGTTCAGAGTTGTTGTTCATATGATAATAGTTTCTCATAGAGTCAGCTATGATTGCTAGTTGACTCAATGGCACATAACTACAACAGCACAAGCACATTGGTCCAATCAGATGGAGCATGCTGGAATTATCCCAACAACACATGTGGAAAGATGTGGTGGAGAAACACATTGCCATGAGTCAGAACAAAACTAGGGACCAACTGTGGAATAAGCCAGCAGTTACTCATGATGCAAAGGGAAGAATACGATAGCCAAAATACTATGTTAAGTGTATTCTAGCTGAATTTATAGGCAATCTAAAGAATATGCATTGACTACTAATGACCAAAGACCAGATGAGTTGTGGTTTGTCATAAAGGACATCATACATGAACAAAGTAAAAGGTCAAGAAAAAGACAGGAAAGAAAGAACTACCAAAATGGGCAGAGATATGGATGGGAATTAGAAAACCAAAAGAGAAGAATACTCTTGGCACTTCTCAAGCCAAAGAACTGAAGAGATAATTCAAACCTTATGTTCTAATACTTAAGAATTCGGTGGGAAAAATATAAAAAAACATAGGAAACATCTAGGGAGCTATGATGGCTTAGTGGGTAAGGAGTTGTGCTTCCAACCCAAACGGTGGAATTTCAAATCCATCAGCTGCTATGTGAGTAAAAATAGGAGCATTCTACACCCATGCAATTTACAGCCTCTGAAAATCCATTGCAAGGTTAGCTGTATGTTCTGACTTGAAGACACATAACAATAACAGCAGGAAGAAAGTTGTCACTACTATCTCTGTCAATGCTCAGTCATTTCAGGAGGTAGCATGCTATAAAAAACAACAGTATGTAAAGAAGAAGTTTAGGCTTCACCGAATGTTTTGGCAAAAAGTAAGGCCCAGGAATTGATGAAATATCAATTGACAAATGTTAACAAATAGATACAAACCTAAATGACCTGATTCATCATTGACAAGAAATTGGGGAGGACAGTTACAGGTCAGCTGACTAGATGAGATCCATTTTATTGTGACCATTTAAAAAAAATCTGATCCAACAGAATGGGGAAATTATCATACAATATCCTTAATTATGCAGTTGACACAACCTTGCTTTCTGAAACTGAGGAGACCTAAAACACTTGATGCAGAAGGTCAAGGACTTTACTCCTCAATATGGGGTAAAGCTCAACATCAAGAAGACAAAGATTGTCATCACTGTGCCAACTGGAAGCACCATAATAGATGGAGAAGAGACTGAGGCGGTTAACTTGTTCAGCTCCACAATCAACAATCTTGACACCAGCAGTCAGGAATGCAAAAGACGAATTGCACTGGGAAAATGTACTGTCTGGGATCTCTCCAGAGTACTGAGAAGCAACAATGTCTGTCTAGAGACTAAGATGCACCTGTTCAAGTCCATGGTCTTCACAATTTACTTGCTATGCATTAGAAATCAAGACAATAATTAAGGATGACAGAAGAAGAATTGATGTCTTTGAGTTCTGGTACTGGAGAAGAGTCTTGAACATATTATGAAACACCAAGAAGACAAACAAGTCTGTCTTGGAGAGGGTGAAACCCAAGTTTCTCCTTAGAGGCTAAGATTTTGAAGCTCAGTTTCACATACTTGGGGCACATGGCTTAGAGAGACTGGTCATTGGAGAAGGACAACTAGCTTGGAAGGATGGACAGCAGAGGAGCAGAAGACCCCGGATGAGATTTATTGACACAGTAACTGAGATAATAGGGGTAAGTGTGTCAGAGTCAGTGAGACTCTCAGGACAGGACAGGTTTCTGAGCTGTTTTACATAGGATCGCTATGAGTTGCAGGTGGCTTGATGGCACATAACAACAATATCATTTATTATCAAGTAGAATCTTGGTGAATATTTTTTTAAATGGAAGGAGATTTTAAAATAAAGATTTATTTTTAGATAATCTATGGGAAGATATCAAGAATATCATTCATTTAAAACGCAAAAATTCATTACAAAGAAGGAAAAAAAGAAAAGACAAAAATGAATGTCAGAACAGACTCTGAATATTGCACTAGAGCATCAAGAAGCCAAAAGTAAAGGGAAGAAGTCAACAAGTTAAGGAGCTGAAAAGATTTCAAACGGCAGCTCAGGAAGACAAAGCAAAGTATTATAACGAAATGTGCAAGGAACTGGAGTGAGAAAAATCAAAAGGGCTGAACTCGCTCAGCATTTCTTAAGCTGAAGGAACTGAAGAACAGTTTCAAGCCACAAGTTGACGGTTCAGGATGCTATGGGCAGAATATTGAATGATTCACAAAACAATAAAAGAAGATGGAAGGAGTGTACAGAGTAATTATACTATAAAGAATTGGTTAACAGAAGAATTTCAAGAAACAACATATGAGCAAGAGGCAGTGGTGATGAAGGAGAAAGTTCAGGCTGCTCTGAAGGACTTGGCAAACAATAAATCTCTAGAAATTGATGGAATACCAATTGACATATGTCAGCAAACAGATACTGCCCTGGATGTGCCCACTAAGTTGTGCCAAGAAATCTGGAGGACAACTACTTGGTCAACTGACTGAGAGAGATCCATATTTATTCCTATTCCATAAAAAGTTGACCCGAAAGAGTGTGGAAATTATTGAGCAATATCACTAATATCAGACACAAGCAAAATCCTGCCGAATATCACCCAGAAATGACTGGAACAATACATTGACAGAGAACTACCTGAAATACAAACTGGGTTTAGAAGAGGTCATGGCACCAGAGACATTATTGCCAATGTCAGATGGATCTTGGCAGAAAGCAAAGAGTACCAGAGGAATGTCTATCTGTGTTTCATTGACTTATGCAAAGGCATTTGACTGTGGATCACAACAAATTGTAGCTAACCTCGACTTGAGGAAAATGGGAATCCCAGAGCACTTGCTTGTGCTTATGTGAAACCTATACTTTCACCAGGAAGCAGTCCTCAAACACTGCGTGGTTCAAAATCAGGACTGTTTCAGGGCTGCATCCTGTCTCCATACTTTTTCAATCTATAAGCAGAACAGATTTTTGGGGAAGCAGGGCTTTATGAGTAGGAACATGGCATCAGGACTGGAGGTAGATTCATCAATAACCTACATTATGCAGATGACACAACCTTGCTTGATGAAACTCAAGAAGACCTGAAGCTCTTGCTGCAGAAGGTCAAGGACAAAAGTCTTTAATATGGATTGAAGCTTAACATCAAGAAGACAAAGATTCACACAATGGAATACTATACAGCACTGAAAAACAAGGAACTCATGATGGACAAAATGGGTGACCTGGAGGACATTATGCTGAGTAAAATATCTCAGTCACAAAAGGATAAATACTTCATAATGCCACTGTTACAAAACAGGGGTGACATTGGGTTTGGGGGAAAACTAAGAAAAGATGGAATAAAT